AAAAAAAAAAGACCGGAGACTAAAATACAAAATCTTGATATATGCCAAGCCTGGGGTGTAATGGGCATTAGGCACACAACCTAGGATTTCCTCCACGTTGTCTGTTAGTCTTTTGGGTTGATGAGATGTTTGTCTGCCTGTGTTTCAGTGCGGCGTGATCCAGTGCGTGCCTGACACAAAGTCGCGCGACCAGCTGGGCCGGCAGACAGACATCGGCATGTATGAGTACTTCCTTACAAAGTACGGTGACACGACCACCCCGGCCTTCCAGAAGGCGCGGCGGAACTTCATCCAGAGCATGGCCGCCTACAGCCTGGTCGGGTTCCTGCTGCAGATCAAGGACCGACACAACGGCAACATCATGCTGGACAGCGTCGGCCACATTGTCCACATAGGTGAGTAGATGGGGGACCGGACCATTTCTGAAGACGGGGAACCAGACCATTTCTGAAAACTGGGCAGTCGTCTGTGCTTTTGGCTTCATAACTGGCCTGGAAAACATTTTAATTAGAAGCCGAAGTATTTGCTGTGCATTGAGAAATGGCTACTCACCATTTTGGGATGTAAATTTTTTGTTACTCTTCACAGTTTGCATTCAAGGAATTAGGCCTTTTCATTATGAATCTATCATTCTATGACCGTTTTCCAATACTCAACTTCATCTCCGTCTCAGGCTTCATGTAGGAAAGCAATCCCCGATTGTGGGCCTGAAGCGTTTAACTTAAATTGAAGTACTGTAATGTCTCTTTTGCATCTTACTTGATGTTCTGTGCCACTAGCAGACTTACTATTGCACTTACAACCTCAAAGTCAGGAAGTAAAAAAAAACAGTTGAAGCCTGCGATAGAGCCCAAGTCGAGTATTGGAAAATGACCTATCTACTAATTAAGTGACAAGATTTATTTAGAACCCGTATTTGCAGGTCATAAAAAAGAAAACCTCTATTAGCAGTGAGGTGTTACTTTTCTTTGTCTGATTTTCTCTGTTGCCGGTGGGGGGATGAAAAGTCTAACCGAGTGAATAAATAAGCAAGATTCGAAAGTCTTAAAAGATCTCTCTTTAGGCCAGGACCGCTCACTCCAAAATTTTTTCTCTTCCCATCAGATTTTGGCTTCATGTTCGAGAGCTCGCCCGGCGGCAACATGGGCTGGGAGCCCGACATCAAGCTAACAGAAGAGATGGTCATGATTATGGGTGGCCGAATGGACGCCCCGCCCTTTAAGTGGTTCATGGAGCTGTGCGTCCAGGCGTACCTCGCCGTCCGGCCCTACCAGGAAGCCATTGTTTCACTGGTCGCTCTGATGCTGGATACCGGTTTGCCATGCTTCAGAGGACAGACAATCAAGCTGCTCCGGTGAGCCTCGAGAATTTTCACTGGTTCCCTGTAAAATTTATTTTGTTCACGTGTGTGCACTGTGTTGTAACAAGTCTTAGAATTGCTGTTCCCTGGTTTTCCATTGATGCGAATATCTTTGGTGTCGGTTTCAGGAGTCGGTTTTGTCCAACCCAAACAGAGCGGGAAGCAGCCAACTACATGCTGAAAGTTATCAGAGACTCCTGTCTGAGCACAAGGTATGTCCATAAGACTTTCAGAGAAACCCTGCGTAAGCCCTGAAGATTTCTGCCTCAACCTTAGCCAAAACCTAAAGACCTTGGTCACCGTCCCTGGTAAATCCTCAAGACTTCAGTCGCAACCCCATTAGGTCCCTAGACTTCCATCATATCTCTACTAAGTCCTTGAGATATCTCTCATATCCTTTGGTAAGTGTTTGAGACTTCTTCCCCAATGCTAGTAAGTCGTTAAGTCTTCTATCACAACCTAAGGTTAGTCCTTAAGAATTCTGTCTTAACCCGAAGTAAGTCTTGAGTCTTGTCCCAGATGCATCAGTAAGACTCCTGTTCACATTGTGTTAAGTCCTCAGGACCAGGGGCATAGCCATCGAGGGGGGCCTGGGGGACACGTCCCCCCCCCACAAATTCCTGGTGCCCCCCACGCTTAAAAAAACACGGACGAATGAATACTGAACAAACTTACAAAAAACGTGCCCCAAAAAACCGCATTTCTGAAAGCTGGTGCCCCCCATAAGATGCTGGTGCCCCCTTGTGGCCCCCCCTTTAGTAAAATCCTAGCTACACCACTGCTCATGGTCCCTCTCTGAGTCCAAGGTGAGTCTTAAAAGCTGTAAATTAGGTCTCCCCGAGTCCAGTCACAAAGAATGCCCGCGGCGGAGTTGATTGGAATAGCTTGTGACTTTGCTTAAGACTGTACGGTATGTGGAGGACTTATGGGGACTTGCGATGGAGTCAATCACAGTGCAGTCCTACTAGTTAAAGGCCTGGAAAATAAATTTAAGATAATCGATTAGAAAGAAATGGATAAACAGACAGGATAATGAGAGTGTGGACGTCATGTCACTTGTTTGTAAAAAAACATTACATAGTCTTTGGCGAAATTTTCTTTGCCTGCAGGACACGGACTTATGACATGATTCAGTACTACCAGAACCAGATACCGTACTAAGACGAAGTATGCCGGGTGTGGAGGCCAGGGTTACCTTTCCAGGTTAGTACAGTAAAACACTACGGGGACCAGTCTATCCGCCATGAGCAGAAGCACCCCCTCATCTGTTGGAAAGAGCCATGTTGGTGGGGAGTGTTAATTTTTCCGGTAGCGACGTGACCGTAACACGTGCATTTTATAGTCGTTTGTTAACCAGCAACGTGCAGTTCCCAGCCAAGGAGGCTCCATTGCTGGGAAAATTGTGCCCTCTCTTGGTCCTGCCCAGAGCTTATAAACTATAGTTGCACATCACTCGGCTCCTTTCTCCAATCATGGTTGTCTCTTCAAGTTTGGCATTGATTTTTGTTCCCGAAATCACTTGCAGTCCTTAAATGTATGGATCTGATGGAACGGCTCCAGTCTTTGGTTTTTATGTTTGGTTAGATGACTCTTTTGAGGAAAATTACCCATTTGTGTCACAGTTTCTAAAATTACGGACCGTTTGTGACCCGCTCCAGGAAAAGGTGACATAAGTTGCCCCCCCCCAAAAAAAATCCAGTTATATACATGACTGGAAAGACCACATTGTAAGCTTTCATTTGGTATATGATACAGCTCCGTAGCCTTTCCCCTTCCAGAGTTATGACACATTTACATATTAATCAGTTCCAGGCAATTGAAATTGCAAAACTGAGAAAACAGGCTTTGAAATATCTGGCTCCGATGTGGGTTGTAGGCATTTAAATCTTACTTAGCAACCAACATGCTCTTGTGTTACAACCACCTTCAAAATTCGCACAAGGACTAAGGAATTAGTATTTTCAATGATTTTGTCTGGGAAAAAAGGAATTTTTGAATCCAACGTCGAGCGGGTCATTGCTCATAGTTGCATGGTGCGACTTACATCACGTTTTCCTGGAGCGGGTCACATTTATGAAAACTGAGACCCATCTGAGGTTTCAAAAATGGTTCTGGAACTGAAACTTGAGAAAGTGAAGGCAATGTTATTTTTCTCTCGTTCCCTCAGAAACAAAAACCCGCTGTCTGCCTCCCTTCCAAAGTAGACCCGCGCCAATTGAAGTTCGTAGACCAAAAGTTTTTGCCGTTCCACTTTGACAATGTCAGGCCAGTACATACACAGCAGATGTGAGTAGACTATGTCGTCAACCTTCACCAATTTTTGTTAGTTGCAATATGCACGTGTAAAAAGGTGTAATGACTCTGAAGTTAATTTTTATTTCTGCATAAAAAGAGTATTTTAAATTGTTATATTTCGTCATGGTATGTTTACATCATGTTATTGGAAAGGAGAGTCTATGAAGTTATAAAATTGAATATTTAAAAAAAATTGTGACTGTATAATCTCAAAGATACATTTTGGGCTCAAGTTGTGGAATAAGTGCAGAATGCATCAAGAGATATTTCTTTTAAAAGTTTTTCAATAGGCAAAGATTTAATAGGAAGACTAAAAACAGATGTCTGCATCATTTTATTAAAGAATTTTGCCCACTATTGGCCATGCTTCTGTTAGGTTTTTCAATTGATGTGCGTCTGCTATGGATATTAAAGAACGCCCTCAACATTTTGGAAATCAATAAGGATTTATTTACAATCCAGTTCAGTGCTGACAGGTACTTTGTTTTTAATCAGAGCTTTATTGTAATCCGAGAATCTTCCGTATGCTTAAAATCCACTTCAAAGTTTCTGTTGCAAATATGCTGCCGTAAACATGTATTTCATTAAGATAGCTTTCTAGAAATCTGAGATATTTCGAGATTTTAACTTGACATCCAAGCAACCCCTCACAGCTAACTTGGATGGCATCACGTGGATGTAACATTGGAATTAAGGAAAAATTTGACTCTCTCAAGTTATTTCAGATTGAGAAATGATTAATTTTCTTTCTGTGGAATTCAAATCATTTATCATACTATGCGTCAAGAATTATGTGAATAGTTTGTACATGGACCTGCTACTCAAAAACTTATGCATGTAAATAACTGTTGAAGATACCTGCAATATATTCTCTGTACCATTGGAATAATATTGAAGATATAGAAGTGAACTATCTAGGTTTTGCCAATGCAATTATGCAGCATTTTATCAAAGTTTAAAGAATTTACTTGTTGAGGTAAAATGGTCTTATTGAAATAAGTACGTCATTTCCACTTCGTTCACACGCATTGTACGGTTCAGTTGTAAAATTTGTGTAAAGTTGCCATATTTAATTTCTTTAAAAATCTGATTTAAGTTTGGGTAGGTTTTGAAGCTCCATTATTACAGATATTTCCTTTAAACTGAACGACAAGAGAGCTCTACCCCATTTCAAAAGTTCATTAGGGCCAGATGTTTTGTTAAAGCAAATATCAGTCCGTTTTCTGGCATGTTTGACGCTAATGTTGTGACTGCACCTACACAATGTTGCATACTTTGTTCTAAAATGGTAGTGCCGTTTCAAAATTGAAAACAGCTGCCAAAGATTTGTTCTACAAAACTGTGTGGTTTTCCCTTTTGTTTGGGGTTTCAGTTGTTAATGTAAGAGTGTCTTGGTGTTTAGCAGATCTATAAAGGGAGTAGAACTTGAGGAACTGAAGGCATTTAAGAGGAAATGTATAGTACTTGTCGTAACATGAGGTCTAGCACAGATCTAGCTAAGGTTGGACGTCGTCTACATTGCATTGCCACCAACGTCCTCAAACAGATAGTGTTTTTTTGTTTTCTCAAATTGTTATCGGGTGAAGACAGCTCAAGTTTCGTCCACAAGTGCCTTGTATCCCAAATACCATAAATGCTGTGTTGAAATTACTAAATACGCCCATGGACAACGAATTCGCAAAAAGTGACGGAAAGCATGGAGTTTTGCAAAATTTCCTGCAAAATACGTTGTCCGCAGGCATATTTAGTAATTTCAACACAGCATTTATGGAATTTGGGATACAAGACACTTGCAAATGACATTAAGGAGCTGTCTGTAAAAATTTGAGAAAAGAACATTGAAAAAATCTCGCATTGTGGGAGGACTTTTATACTCTGGACATCAGTCGTAGTGTAAGGAAGACAACGTCCAACCTGGGCTAGCACAGATCTGTGTTTGCTTAAGTTGACCACAGTGTCCATGGTTGACATAATAATCTAAGAAATGATACACACTTAACTCAGTCTCCTTGAGTTTTCCTTTTTGTTCATTTAGAATTACGTACCGGTAACTGTTGGTGCTATGTACTGCAGAGTTTGTGTAGTTTGTTTCCAATTTGCAGACCTGCCAATTTCATGGATGTTTACATTGGGTTAGGGCTCAGGAAAATATTTGATACCATGGCTGGAAAATTACCTTCCAAAACTATGCTATTTAGCGTCAACAAGCGTCACCAAGTAATCCAAGCAGTTTTTTTTAATTTACAATATTAACTAGGCTCCTACATATCTTATTCAATATATCTATCTGACATGATATTTGAGTGTTGACATTTGAGTAACAAAGTCGGGTCTCCGAGGCAGCTCGACCGGCTGCCATCTTGTTTTCTTGTGGATGGCAAAGTACAGGATGGCGGCCACCATACATTGTGAAAAAATTGTTTTTTTTTGTGTGAATATGGAAGCAAAGTCGATGCTTCTCTTACACAGTGCAAAGTCTTAGAGTCCCCAAAATAATGATAAAACCACTTTTAAATCTTCAGAGGTAATTTTCAAGTTGTTGACACTTGTTGATGCTAAATAGCATGCATTTGCCACTTTTTGAGCCAGTGGTTGTGTGGGAGGAGCCGTAATTTTAGGAGTCGGACAAAGTTTGTGTAGTTGAGACCGTCATAAGACCAGACACAAGTTTACAAGACCAGTCACAATTTACTGGGTGAACAGTGACAAACGAATGCAGCTTTTGTTGCCGTTCATTTTGGTAGCTTGTGACTCAACTTCACCAGGGTCATGTTGGGTCCTGTAATGGTCTTAAAGGATCGTTATGACAACACTTTAGAGACAAAAAAGCTACTAGTTGTCAGGAATATATGTTTCTGTCATCAGCTAACATGTGTTTTGTAAAGTCTAATTACTACCAATGTAATGCCAAAGCTCCAGAGTATGTCTATTTTAATAGAAATCTTGTGATAATTACATAAGGATTGGAGACTACTTGTGCAATAGTGCAGTGGTTTGAGAGCTCTTGCTCATATGCATGGCTAGTTTGAAATAAACTGTGATGGCCTTGGGATTTTATTCTCTATGCAGAGTGTCGATTTTGGGGGTTTTTTGGTCGTTTTAGCAGATTGTCTTTCAGGATGTCAGTGTGTTTGCCAACAGGTACGATTGACAGAAAGATCGACGGAGTTATATGGAGTTTAAAAAAAAAAAAAGAGAGATTAACTTAAGTTTGCGAACATGAGTAGGCTTTATGCTAAACGGGTCATTCGCTGACTTTTATTTCCACATGTACCCTGTGAAGTCTCAAGATAGTTGGCACTGCACCGCATGTTCAGATTGATTAGTCTTAATGTAATAAAGACTGGCATACCACCTGGGCTAAGTAAAAACCGGCTTTATGATGGAAACGGAAGCTTTTTTAAAACAACTACATGTAACTATTTGAGGATGGGCTCCCAGGCGCCAATATATCTTGCTATAATTCAATGCAGACATCTGATTGTTGTAGACCATGCAAGGAAACCCAACTAAACATTTGGGACAAAGTTCAAAGACCACCGCCAAGCCCCATACAACAGAGAGCATTTGGCTGCTTTCTCATCTAAAATGAGACCATAGAGATCCCAAGTAGAACTGGAGGGGACGTGGCATAAGACATAAATTTAACGCAATGACTTGGAACCTCGTGGAAGCTTATGCATGCATGTGAAACACACACAAGTGCACTGAGATATGACTCGCTTCATGTGCGCAGAGCACATAAGTGCGTGCTCGTTTTTAACTTACAAGTCAGTGTAGCCGAACACAATATCACTCTGTTCTAGGGCCAAATTTGTGCAACGTAAAAGAATTGGCCTGTCAACTCTAGCTTTTACTGTGATCTCCTTCAATAATTGGAAAAAAAAATGGAAGTATGCACAGAATTTCAGTCGGGAGATGACATGGATTAGAAATAGAAGACAGTATGGCAAGTGATGATGAGCATGGTTCAAATAACTTCAGCTTTGATCGGTAACAAAGCAAATTATTTTATGGTATCTCTCAACCTGCTCCTGGTTTTTAAAAATTAGTTACTATTTACCTAAACTCAGGCCACGGGTTACACAGAAATTTGTAATAAAAGCAGGTTAAATTTGGGGCAACGTTAATTCAATCCAAGAGGATAAAAACATGGTAAGATAAGATTTAATGAAACAAATTGACAGTTTGAGTCAGCGACATTACTGAGAATTTATTCATTGCACTCGACACCAGATTTAACTCCACTGAATACTTGAAAATTTTCACAAACTAAATTATATCAAAATAAACACCTTCCATTAATCATCTGACTCTTGCAACACTTTCAAGCAAAGGGCAAAGATTATGACCGTCAAGAACACAAGGCTCCTTTTCCAAAATTACAGATTTCCATCCTCAAAACTACTACGACAAGAAATCTTTAAGTACTGAAGTTCACTTCCTTGAAAACAAAGTATAGTGTCTGCTCTTTTGACATCATCACCAAAAGGTGCTATTTTTTCAAACTTTGTCATAAGTTGTAGGCAAATGAGAGTGGTTTATAGGAGCAAAGTTGCTCATAGAAAAGTCACAAGCCAAACTGTACTGCCTGCTGACCTTTTGAACGCTGCATTGAACTTTGTAACATTGAAACAATCATGAGGTGGCTCTATAAATTTAAACAGTGATTCAAAAATTATGAAAACTGAGCACTTGGACATGAATGGGGGAAATTCACAAATGGAAAGAACGTGATTTTGCTTTAGAAATCTTCCACAACTGCAAGCCCTTTTGAAGCAAATGTAATTCTTGTTTTCTTTACCAAATCATTTGCTAAAAAGTAAACAGAAGGTAAGAAATGATCATAAAATTCCTCACGAGATTTCTCGTTGCAAATACAAAAGCTTTCAGTTTTCAGGACAGCTTGAGGTTGAAAACATCCTGAATTTAAATGTCATCTGGTTTGATCATGTAAGAGAATTTCATAACTACCTCAAAATTTAGTCAGAGAATGCACCTTCCAATTACAGGAAATAATCACAAAATTATCACACTTTTAAAATATTACTTCTAGCTTGTGTCATTTTGAAATTTCCCAAATTTACAATGTAATTTTGTTTGAAAGTTTCAAAGAGCTCTTCTTGAGGGAGTGCCCTCCTTGATGTAAGTTTCTTAGATTTTTTCTTCAAAATTTTCAGCTTCACGGTCAAAGCCAATGCTTTTAAAAAAACATTGTTACTAATTTAATTTTAGGAATAAAGTATGTAGGAGTGCATTGAAGCTGGTGTACCAAAAAAGTCAGAGGACAGTTGTGGTAATGTGATCAGGGAGATCTGTTTGAAGACCATTCAGTCTCAGGGCAGAGTTTTCAAGGACTGAAACTGCCAACCTCCAATCAAATCTTTTAATAGGTTTTTGTGCGGCATTTTTTGACAGTCTTGAATAATTCCGGTCAAGCTGCCTTGTGTACCTCGAAGTAGATGTCATTACTTGATGTGTGTTGCCATGCAGATGTCATCAGTGTGTTCATCATCCAGCATATGCTCCACCCACTCCACAACATCCATGACCTTTCCTTGGTTGGTGCCCCTGGACATACCAAATACCAAGAAATACAAAAAGGACAATTCACTACTACAATTTGGAACTTTTACAAGTTACTTTTTAATTGATGGGGGCTCTAAACTCCCGCCAGATATTAAACTTTCTCATTCACTTTTTCCCCTTGTTTCTAAAAAGGAGGCAACTTTTTGGCCATGACACTTTCGTCCAAGATAGACTGGATTTTCTTCAATATTTTCAAGCAGTTAGCAAGACATTGCTGGAGAAAAGTGCCTCCAAGAATTCACCTCCCAATCCAAGACAGACACTAAGGGCAAAAGGGCTGGGAGGCCAGTCTTTCTTTTCACACGGCCTAAAACTCCTTATTTACACTTGAGCAATACATAAACGCTCATACCGCTAAATCCAATCTCCACGAGGTACTGTCTGAGGTTCTCTTGCTCCCTGAATGCTTCCAGGGCGAAGTCCAGGGGGAACGCTGGCCTTGGTGTTGCCATGGTAATCAAACACCTCATCAGTCTGTGAATATATCTGGCCTCTGGGTGCTTCACCCAACAAGAGAGACTCCAAGCCAACAGTCTTCTAGTCTGCCATAACCTTCCAAAACCAAACAAAAGAACATCTTACACATTTGCAGAAAAAATGCACCCGTCTGATTGGATAGATACTGATAAAGAACTTTGTTTGAAAAGACGTACATTGGGATCTTTATCCGTTGCCTTTTTAACAAGTTGTTAAAATTTTGATACTTCAATTTTACAAATGTAAAATTGCTTTTCCAATAAAAAATGGTGGTATTTTGGTGTGCACAATGATCAAATGATTTGGTAGACACTGCCCTTGCAAAACAAGTCGAATGGAGAAGTGGAATTTTTTTTGGTTTTTGCGCTCGCATGACAGGTGCAAGCGTACTGTATGCTCTAGAAGAAGTTACATTTTTTATTACGTAATCATCCAATGAATATATAGCCAAGAGTGGGCTTTCAGCCCATTCTCGGTCAAGCAGTCGAACCTCGCCATTACACGATTCTTATTGGTCTTTACACCTTACACATCCTTTTACGATACGAGAACATGCCTCAAGAGGAGAATCCCTCGCTTTCGCAAGCTACTGAAGGAAACCAAGAAATCTTGCGAGCCATCCAGTCTCGTTAGACTCACCAGTCAAAGCTGCTTGCAAAAAGTAGAGACTCCCGGCGGACGTCCCGGTTCTCAAGAGAGAAGGGAACCAGCAGCAACATAAACAACTGTGGAAAGATCCTTGCTCTCGTCCAAAGTGCACTCCATAGCATTGAAGCACTTGATACAGAGGAAGCCGTCAACAAAATCAAGGAACGCCAGAGGCAGATATGCATCGCCGACCGGTCAGAGCTAGGCTGCGGCGTGGTCAAAGAATATGTCGCTGACGACTTGGCCTCTGATAAAGAGCAAATAAAAAAAGCACAGAAAGCCGCTGCTGCCCAGAAACCGGCCCCAAAGAAGCGACTCAACAGCGCTAAGACACCGAGCACCACTCCAAGGCTATTGCCGTCTTTTGCTCTTGCCCTTATCTGCGGCAGCCAATTTTTCGTCCCTTTGACAGCCGCATATGCTTCCAGTGTTCACGTGCGATCAGCATGCCCATCAAAAAGGACAGTTGGGACCTCCAGCAGCCCCTAGAACCTACGGTGACAGGGAACATTGTCAAGGTCATCCTTCCCCTCCACAAGGAGTACAAGGTAGATTAATTACCCAATTAGAACACTGGAAAGATACTTTGAAAGCTGGTGATTTTTTGTAATTGACGTCATCGAGTTTGGCTAGAAGATTTTCTTTCTTGTCACACCTCCTCCATTTTTTGCGACGAATAATAGACTGAGTTTAGAGCACCCTGAATTTGTCGAGTCGGCAATTGCTGCAATCCCCTTACCATTGCGGTAGGGAAAAAAATAAGGCTTGTTCTTGACCTCCGTCAACCTAACAAATTTGTGCTAAAACCAAGTTCAAATACGAGGACCTCAAGCATATCTCGCAAGTCCTAGACCACAAAGACCACTATTTTAGTGTTGAGTCCGGTTATCATCATTTAGACATATTTCCGGCACACCAAAGATGTCTTGGGTCCTCAAGGAAACATTGCCAACGTGACAGCAGATACATACACAACATCTTCCACGTCCTTCCATTCGGCTTATCCAGCGCATGCTACTTATTCACCAAGGTCACCAGACCTCTTGTGTATTCTTGGCAAGCACTTGGCATCTCGTGCTTCATGTACATCAACGACGGTCTAGTGATGTCTGCAGATCGCCAATCTGCATCACGTTACTCGGCGATCGTCAAAGATTCCCTTATTCACAGCGGCTTTGTTCCGAGTAAAACCAAATGTGTATGGCAGCCACAGACCTCGATCAAATATTTCGGCCTCATACTTGATTCCAATTTCTTGACATTTTCTGTCCCTCAGTCTAAAATAATCAAACTTCAGTCATCCACTGAAAATAGTATTCTTACCGCCCACGCGAGTTCTATCCGTACACCAGCTAGGTCGCTTGCTGGAGTTACTGGACAACTTGTCTCTATGTCCCTTGCACTGGGCCCTGTTGCCCGTTTAGGGTCGCGAGCCATGTATTGCGCTACTGAGAACAGAACTCTATAGGACGATCTGATCTTTATTTCCAAGCCTGTTATCACCGAACTGGTATTTGTCCTTGTCAGTTTTTTTTTACTTTGTTTGAAGCACAACATAGTCATCTTACTGAAAAGGATACTTAGCAAAGGCAATAGCATCGCTGGTAGTCTATTAGTAGAGTGTCCACTTTCCAAGACTGGTCCATTGACCATGCCTCCCTTGACCTGATCAATGGCCTGTGGGACCCACATACTTGGGTTCGATTTGCATCCCCTACCAATTTTAAGGTGGAAAAGTTCAACTTTAGGATTTGGTGCAGAGCTGTTGCGGGTTGGATGCCTTTTGTTACAATTGGTCCGACGAAAACAATCACTCGCGCCCTCCTATTTCACTTGTAGTGCACACACAGAATCACTTATCATTGTGTAACAGTAAAGGCACTCTCATCGTTCCAAAATGGATTTCAGCATACTTTTGGCCATCAATTTGTCCTGATGACGAGCACTTCAATCGAGCCATTCATGATTGGCGTTTATTGAACATCAGTTTCAGCCTTCCTCCTTCAACTCCAAACTCAGTCTTCAATCAAACGCCGACATTTTTGTCATTAGCATTGAAAATTGACCTTTCTGTACCTCTCAGATTAATAATCAAAGGCCTTGTTCCACCAGTCTCGGTTACTGTAAGGATTGTGTGTAAGTGACAAAATTGTCAACTTTTGGGCGCCGACAGGCTTTTTGCCAATGTCTATGGTCATCTGGCACCGTTTAGTAGAGGCCATTTGCCGGCCTAAGAGGCAAGCTGATTTGCGAGCTACGGAAATGGCCGATTGGTGTGCCTTCCACACGCATTCTTGAAGTTCCAACCAACTGAAGTCCACACAGTCTCCTCCTTTCTGTTGTGAATCTCACAGTCAAGGTTCGCCACACAACCAGACCAACTGTTCACCAATGAAAAAATCATGTTCTTTGTCTTTCTCTGTCCTGTCTTTGTTGCATTTTGGTTTATTACATGCAGAAGAAGTAGAAAAGAAATGAATTTTTCGCTGAAAGAATGTAGGAGGAAATACGATTTCAGTTCAAGATTCAGGAAATGTAGGAGAAAGTTTGTGAAAAATCCAAGGCAAAATTAAATCAACAAAACGAGGGCAGTTGGAGGCAGAGTAACTGAGGTTTCTGGGGATGAAGGAACAAGATGCCATCAATGCATCTGTTGCTGCTGTGACCTAGTTGAAGTTACGAAGGTAAAGAATTTGATCGTCACATCTCAAAGTGTATCGCGTCATGGTTCTTTATTACCTGTTGTCAAGCACAAGAAAAGCTGAAACTATTCAAATGGAAACAATTCCAATTTCAGCACATTTCGTTGTTTAAATTTGACTATGGTTCCATATGACATTTTTGAAAATGAAGAAACATATCCAAAATTAATTGTACTCTTCAAGTCTTTTTCCATAAAGATTGAAAGTTTTTGAACTTTTGAAGTTTAGAACTCGTACAGCAAAGGTAAACAGTAAGTTTTATTGACCATTGGCAATAAAGGTCACTTCCACATGGCTGACTTTATTCCAACTCTGTAAGAGAGTCTTTATTTGGAAAAAGATTCTTGATCAGCATAAGAATAAACAAAGTTGTCTAGATAAATTCCGCTGTTGAGTAGTCGCATGCTCATC